CGAGGCCTTGTTTGATGCGCTACAGCTTACTGCTTACTTGCGTCCAAATATAGTTAGTCCAAGTATATGTAGTTTGAAGGCTCTTCACAGGTAGGAGCGCATTGCACTGATCTGGCGCCGGTCGCGGCAACCGCTTGTGTCACAGAAGCATCGTCCAGCATCTAGCGTCACTAAGCGTCACTAACCGGATTCCATTTTTAGACATATACTTCACTGCTGACCAACAACGATTTGTGAGAGAGATGCACAAAAGCCAACAGATGCTGGACGATGGCTCAGGGCCACAAGCCAGTGCCCCGACCGGGACAAGATCCCTGTAGTGCGCGCCGGCCTCTAAAGAGTCTTCAAACTCTGCGCTGATTGGACGCAGCTACGCAGCTACGCAGAGAACTGCAGCGCATCAAACAAGTTGTTGTAAATAATGGCTACTCCAGCAGTGCCATCGACCATCAGATCAGCAGCTTTATGGCACGATAACAGACAACAACTGACGCCATCAAACATGAACCAAATCATATCTGCTCCATCCACATGAAATGTCTTATAGCTATAACACATGCGAGCGTATCCTCGAGAAAACAATATCCAACGTCAAGCCAGTCAGCCAGGACGACGAAATAACGCTCACCATCTACTACAAAAACAGAAAGGACACTCAAATACATCATGGGAAATAACCTCACGGCCAAATCTGACCCCTTGAAACGAGCCAATGTAGTTTACCAGTTTCGTTGTGGCATCGGAGATTGCAGACTCCTAAAGCAATCAAACTGCGTTGGTGTCGCTACCACCACAGTTTCAAGGCGGTTGACGATGAACTTGGTTGACGTTACTTCAACAGAGCAAACGAGAAAAGAGCATGGCCGGGACATCACCCGAAACGTTCTGACCAGAGGCACCAGCACCATGACATCACCAAACAGGAGGAAGCTTTATGTTGCAGAGGCCGTCCCGATCGAAACATTGTCACCGGAACTGAACAAGCCAACCAAAGCTTCAATCACCCTTTATCCCTTTAGGGACGATTGTTACCATCAGTATATATGGTAGATATTCCTTTTCAGCGCGTTTTCCACCACTTGAATTACTATGCTTTCAAAATGTCAGTCAACTAATCTGGGCTCTGTGCACTTTGACAACCGAACTCAACGCGATTATACCTTCTTGCTACACTTAACTGTAACACGTAATTATATATTCGTCGCTTGTATGCTGTATGTGTACACCTTTCGAAATGGAAAATGCAGTAATGATTCCGAAACGTCAGACCAACCAATCGATACCAAACATAGGCGAGTCGCTTTTTATCTCGATGATGAGGAAACAAGTGTAATACAAGACTAGAGCAAGTGCAGAAAAAGCTTACTAAAAGCACTTACACGAAGGTCTTTAACAAGACTTACATAGAAGACAATTAACCTCCTACATATAACAATACATATATATATATATATATATATATATATATATGCATATGTATTTAGTGGTCATCACATGTTCGTTCATACTCATTATTTCCATGGTCAGTCAGTGACCGTATTCGCTCCGTTTTCTATCTCAGTTCTGCTAAAAAGTGTTGGCTGCAACGGGATTTGACCCCACGACAGGACATCGCAGCGTGTGCATTTGGTCTATGCTTTGCCTAATAGCTCGAAAAAGAGTGGCACGCCGCAAAGTTTTGACCCCAGAGATGGGACAAAAATTGTTCGAGGTTCATTTCTGTGTACTTTGTATGCACACACATATTCAATATCTAAAAAGCCGTGGGCCTGAGAAGGGGTATTTTAACATGGGACTGTGGGCTAGTCGTAAAATCTGTGCCATTGCTGCCATATTTCTAACTAGTGTAAAGTCCCCACCTAGCAAGTGGTCATGGCTAGGCATAGTGAAGAAATGCTACCCTGTCATGATCAAGGTCTGAAAATTATCCCGTGTTCACCAAGATTTGTAAATTATCAGAGATTGGCCCTCGGCCTGGAAGATTATCAGCAATAATTACCCATATTTGTTAAACTGGGGCACTTTAAATATTTGGTCGATGGAAGCGAATTGAAAGAATCAATGGATACAACACGAAGAATACCGAAATGCCCCACAATCCTACGAGCAGAATTGCGTGGCTTTTTAGCCATCATGTGAGAAGTGAATATAAGCTTTCAAAGAATATGGAAAATCTGTTTGCAGAAAAGGTGTACTCCTAAATGTGCTGTAACCTTCCACAGTAAGTGATGGCATGCATCCGAGGTCGCGCGCGCTTGAAGTCTGCCATGCTTGAGCGTCTCTAACACAATGTTCTCTCAAGGCGATGACTGCCGCTCCGATCACCGTTTATTACGCCCTGTTTGGCTCTACGAGCAAAATGGACGTATCCGTCGTTCGCATGAAAAGTTTGTAAAACGGAATTTCGGCCGCTCAGACTATAAATAGCAGGATAGTGTAGCGTTCAGGATTGAGCCTAAATTTGGAATCGGAAACACGCATCACGGCAGCTGTTTCGAATCTGGGATGACTAAAACAACCAGACCGTGCTCCTCACCATGCACTGCACATAACGCCAAGCAGATTGCGAGCTGGTTCATGCACATTCGTCGCAGTACTTTCGTCTCAGTAATAAGATCAGCGTGCAGAACTTCTTCACGAAATTCTTCAGCGTCAGAAAAATATCAGCGAGGACCATAGCATGTAGCATGACCCCCGTGGGACAACTTCCGTATGTGGAGTGATCATTCATGATCATTGTCGGGTGATCTGAGAATGTTCAGCAATGTCCTCTGCGCGAGGGACTGCCCGTGCCGGGCATGACTTACGTTGGCGGACTTGATGCGGGCTGCTCTCTCTCGCCCGGTGATGTGCGTCGAGTAAATGTACCGTCATGCATATCTTATCATGTACAGGACATCTCATAATCAAACGTCTGCCCAAACTCCGTCAGTTTGTAATATGGAAACAATGATATGGAAACAATGTATTATAACGTCACCATGCTCTCATGAAGATCTCGTGTGGCAGTTCACCAGACGAGACGGACCACACCACTGGATAAAAGGCCCTGTAGCCGGACATCTCTCGGACCCGGGCCGGACATCTCTCCGACCATGTGACCGGACATCTCTCGGACCCCGGGCCGAACATCTTTCGGAGCCCGGGCCGAACATCTCGCGATTCGCACCCATAGCGCAACACAATAACAGAAACCAGAGCTGGCCTCACATTCGACCAGCCCTCCGAGCACTCGACTCCGCCTCGCCGCTAGCCTGCGAGCTATCCCGTCACTGCACAGCGAACAAGTGAGCGCAAAACCGACAACGGCGTGCCAAGTCGGCAAACCCAGAGCTACCATCGAAAACGACGTCCAGTTACGTGTGGCACTGAGAGCAGTCTGTGGACTCAATACGAACGTTGGCCTCGTTGTCAGCCGGGGTTGTGGCAGCCAGTCGGCGTGCAGGTGGCGACCAGCCGGCCCCCGGCACACCCAGCCGGCGGACTGGCAACGCAGACCGCCGCTGGCAGACACCGGAAGCCGTCGAAAGCCACCGGAGGCCGTCGGGCCGGTCACGCAGACGCCTCCTGCAGGAAGGAGTACACGCCTGGGCCACTACCATTGCCGCCGCCACCGTCGCCGCCGCCGCCGGACGGTTTTTGCCGGGTGTGGGTCGCCGGTGCCGCCGATGCGTGACAGCTCCAATTTTCTGGCCCAGGCACCGTCACAAGCTGCGCCAGGCCACCGTCCATCAGGGTAGGGGGCCGTGAGCGGACGGCCGCGGTCGCCCTCCGGACTACGTGAAGGCGGAGGCCGGCGCGTGCCCCGGGCAGCGCTGCAGGGCGCGGCCGCCGGCGTCTCAGCGTCACGCCAGGAGCATCACGAACACGGCCAGCAGGATGTGCAACGTCTGCGCTAGGCTCAGCCGCCGTCCTGTAACCGAGACACACCCCACACGGGCTCAGATGCGTGCATCGAACTTTTTGTGGCCGAAGCGACGTCAGGTGCACACAGACGCGGAGCTCGCACACTCGGACGCGTGGTGCGGCGGCAGCATCAGCGGTCACATCTGAATGCCGCAAAAAGCGAACAGAATCGAACACATTGCATTTCCTGGCACAGAATTTCGACACATAGCTGGGCAACGGTCTCTTCCACGCAGTGCAGACAGGAGCTGTCTTCGGTCAAATGACAGCAATTATCGATTCATAAGAGACATCATCGGCGAAAGTGGCCGCACTCCTGGGACATTACGCCAAGCGTAATTATGTATGGCAAGACAGCACGTGACGTGATGGCAGTCCGTTCCGGTACCAGACCGCCTTCTGGCCGGCGTGCTTGTGGCCAGGCGCGGACCATCGTAACATTGCTCTAGTCTCACCCCACAGTCGGCTGCACAGAGGCAGGCCGGGACCCACGAGCCGTGATCCACGCGTGCTCGGTGCAGGACCATATCTGTCCAGCGCACGTACCATTTGCTTTCACAGGCCGCGTAACGAGGGCCTGGGAGAAGCGGATTGGGCGCCTGGCGCTGCAGACTCCGCTTTGGTGATAAGTGGGGACGCAAGTCAGTCGCCGTAGCGGAGCGCAGCAGCTGCACCAGCAGTACAAATGCCAAGTTCCGCACGCCTCGTAAGCTCCCAGCAAACCTCAACCAAAGGCAGTTGCTTCCAGACGACCTCAATCTAGTTGAGTTTTCCCGTACCAGACGTAATGCAAAATAGCATGGCGAAGGTGAAATGCAACCACTCCTTCGCGTCAAGAGTGCATGATGGCAGCAGGACTGCCTAGCAAGGCCCGCGGACTCGTCCGCTAGTCATAACTACAAGACCGCAGAGAGATGGCAGCAGGGCCACCTAGCAAGGCCTGCGGACTCGTCCGCTAGTCACAACTACAAGACCACAGAGAGATGGCAGCAGGGCCGCCTAGCATGGGCCGCGGACTCGTCCGCTAGTCACAACTACAAGACCACAGAGAGATGGCAGCAAGGCTGCCTAGCATGGCCCGCATAGTCGTCCGCTAGTCATAACTACAAGACCACAGAGAGATGGCAGCAGGGCCGCCTAGCATGGGCCGCGTACTCGTCCGCTAGTCACAACTACAAGACCACAGAAAGACCGTCTCCACCACCAAATGGCCGAACGACAAGGATCAGCTATACAGATAAATCCTGCGTTCCTTCGCGCAATTGGGATGCCCAGAAACACTGGAGCACTGACGGCATCCATCTTCCAACTTAAAGATAGCCTCGGCTGGCCTGCCACGCCATTTCGCCGAGTCACCCAAGGCCAAACGGTACGCCTTCAGAATTACGTCAATATTAATCAGCCCTTACCGCGGATTAGACATCCGGCATTCGGTCTGCAACTTTCACATCACCCATTTAATGTTATGATAACGGGCAAGGCATTTTCCAGCCTATGGGCGGCTTAATACCGCCTCGGCCCATCTCATAAATTCAAAGTGTCGCGTTTTGCATAACGAAAGGGACCCGGTAGCACACGGGCTCATCGAGAATGTAGATATTTCGAGGCCCTGGCGATCGTACGTTACCCGGGCAAGAGAATCGGCGCTAAGTGGGTCCATATTAGAGCATCGTTTTAAACCGACAGCCGGGCAGACGGCCCGATGCCATGATATACGATGTGTCCACGTTTTAGCAAGGCTGCACATGTCTGCCGCACTGTTACAACAGATGGCTGGATGACCGCGTTCCAATCAATTATGACCATTGCAACGGAATGGCACCGACTTCAACCTTACCATCCAATCAGCGAAATTAAACCCGAATCGATGTCATATTGTGGGCTGGACTGCTCGGCTGCGGGTGCTCGAGTACTACAGCTCGGTACAGTCGCCGCCACAACCTCTTCAGACTTAACTTTGCCAGCCCTGTGTGGGGGTGTTTGGGCGTGTGCGCATTTCGATGCCTGGAAAGCAGGTCTTCCAATGATATTGGGCACGGCTATCACATTACGAGCGTGCGCGTGTCCCGATACGTGGGATGCGGAGAGACATTCCCAACAACGTCTGTTACTGGCATGACTAGTACATCGCGGTCACCGTGCATGACCCGCTATTCTCTGCACATCTCGCCAATGGACAAATGCTTAGTTGATACGTTTAGAGTGCCGAACGAAGGAAGCACAAATAATGTTTTAGGTATATTTTACCTAAAAAACTCACAGCATCGATGCTCCAGTAAGGAATCCCGTACATACCCGTTCTAAGGACTTACAAAAAACAATGTAGGTGCCTCGTAGTGCTTCTGGCTGTTGATCAATACATTTTATATATCATAAAGCAAAGGACTAGAGGCAAGTCGGACTTCAGTAGGAATCTGCATATTTACATATTACCGGGCCACAACGTCTCCTGAAAGCCTTTGGCACACACGTGTAATAAACGTATGTGAAGTACGACGGTCAGAGAGCATGGTTATTTCTTGCACCAAACAGATCTGAACGAGCTTGCAAATTGTAAGGGACTTTTGTCAGGCACTACTAAACATTGCAAATGTTTCTCACAGCTGTTGCGAGTTAAGACCATAATTTTGGCACGCCCCTAATGCGCCTACATTACGCCACATTTAACAGTTAAACTATACGTTCGATTATCAACAACCACCCACGTTTTGCCCCCCTCCGCATTAGTGTAGTTTGATTCTATAGACGTTTCTTACTACTTTTCGCTTTATTCTCCTGTAACTTATATGGTCTTGGAAAGTAATAGCAGCGTACGCAAACGTTCATCACATATGAGGTTGGTTTAACAAAAGTGCATGCACAAAAGCTCTTGGCAGCCTAGGGATTTAAGCATAAGCATAAGCATAAGTCTAAGCATAAGCATAAGTCGATGCATGACCAGAATTAACTTCTGGATGGTGGATGATGCTTCTATGGAGAGCGTTCCAGGACATATTGACCACCAGAACACCGGATTCACCCTCAGCTCTCAAATTTTGCTGAAACCTGGTTTCCGGGGATGACCTAAGGCATGACGTCATGTCAGCTATGTTTAGCTCTTGCCGGCGAAAAGTTTGAAAGTGATACTTTCAACGTTTACCGTCATCCCCCTCTCTCTGATTTATGGTATGTATTGGCCCGCACAGCGGTTATTCATCCGACGCCAGCCATCAAGCATGCAGGCCTGCATTCCAACTTGCAGGATACCTCTGCATCCCACCTTTTGATTAGGTGCTTTGCCAAACGAGATTGTTCATACGAACTATATTCCTGACGAGCATTTGCGCACAAACTTTGTGTACTCACATCTCATATCGAAGTACGAACCATTACTTATGTGCCCTTGTCGCATGAACTAACATTTCCGTCCGAGCAGTCGTTAAGGATCTTTTCCACGCGGACCTTGATGGGTACGAACATTTTTGCTACGAACTTTTCCCCGACGAACATTCCGCCATGTCATCACTGTCTGTAGTTACCTTTCCATGCGCAACTTGTGTTGTTACGAACTTAATATTCTTCGCACTTAAACCTGAAGAACACTAGGCATATCAACCTTATTCTCCCAGCATTGGGCATGAATGATTTTCTATACGTTTGTTTGCTGTGTTTTATCTAACTTTCAAAATATTATAAATGGTACGGTAACATAAATGTAAACAAAGAATTGGTGTACAAATCATGATACTTAAATCTGGGCACATCTCCCAAAAGAAGCAGAAAGAAGCGAGGACAGCAAGCTGAGAACAGAAAAAAGAACGGAAAACAGCTGCCGGTCATGGCATTCTAATAACGATCCACCGCGATAGCACAAGACGCCGCCACCGCTACTGTCTACGCCTCATGCCATAGTTTTAACACTTAAATGATGCAACCCTGGAAGCACGCCGCGACCACCTGGTCATCCCCGTTTATATCATCCGGTAAATGACGCGTGTGTGCTGTCGGTGCTTGCAAATGGATTGAAACAGAGGTTTAATATTTGCACAACCTTCCGCATGAGCTGGCGTCCCGGGTGTCGAGAAAGTGGTCAAAATGGGACAAAATGATGAACTGTCTCAGACATGTGACAACAGACACTAAGCAACGGGAGGCTTTTGAACCTGGACGAGGAGCGCGTTAAGAGGGATGCAGCTGGTCCTTATTCGGGTGTGGTAGACATTTCCGAATTTTGATTCTCATGGGAAATATGGAGGAGGTTTTCTGGTACCCAACAGATCTGCTACGGAATTTTTCAATTCTGTGCGTAATGCGCGAAGTGCTACGGGTAGTTTGGTCAATATGCACGTGGTATTTAGCATGAATTATCGTTGAAAAGATGTTCTGGCCTTGAGGGTTGTAGAGTTTCTGAGTGTACTGTCAGTGTGAGTGGTGCGTGTATGGAGACGTGTCTGTCAAATCGTAAGGTTGTTGGTGTTTTGTACTAATCAGTGTGTGACAAAATGACAGCTTGTGTAACCTTCGTCGTGTCCTAAGTATGTCAACTCCAGGCTTTGTCTGAATTCATCAATCCTCCATGTTCTCAACTAGGTTCTTGCCCTTTTGCCCTTAATATCTTCAAATGTGGAACATCCCTTCTAGGGTTGTCCTTACGCGTTACGCATACGCAACATCCCGCCACCTGGCGGAAAGAAGTGAATTCAGCTTAAAGACGTGATAAGGGTAGTTTTGAACATTGCGCTAGACTGCAGTATGAGATCAGCAAGAATAACCTATAGCCAGCTCATTTCATCCGCTCCATAATGCAGCAGGCTCATATAACATGGCCATGGGAAACATCACGCTACGGTGTCGTTTTGATCACCGACCGCAGAAGACACCCGAAGTTTGCAAAATGACAGCATTATACCTTATGCACTCATGCAGTGGTAGAGCACACCAAATATGACTGTTGTGTGACAACGTATCGTCCTACTCGTCTCGAAATCTCCTCAATGTTTTATCGTGAACATAAAAACGTCTTGGCTGTTCAAAAACTACGGTTTAGGACTAGACGAGGACCGCACCATCCCGCTTCCGTCCGATGTAAACGGATGGAGAGTGCAGCAAACGGAGAAAGACAAAGGTTGCTGTCGTGGCTGACTGGGTCGAACCAGTCGATGTATGATCACACTAAACGGAGGGCGACAGAGATCAGTTACGTGTTAATTGCTAACAGAGCCAGTTACTAGCAGTGTGAGCTGCTAGCAGTCACTCATGCATACCCATTCCGTTTGTTTACTGGTAGGCAGAGCCACTCCCAGGCCCCACTCTATGGTGTGATGACACTGCGCTTAACCCTGAACGCATTGGCAGCATCTGCCGCCTGTTTCAGCAGGTCGACAAGAAACCTGTTTATTGGTTCATTCACCAGCCGCATGCAAGCGAGTTTAATTTGCAGCTGTTGTCAGCATCAGTTGGCAGCTGCTCAGGGGTTCCGGGAGCTCGATGATGTGACAACTGTATTGAGGTCGTTCACGGGGTCACTACGCGAATCGGCAGCGGGAGCATGGCGTGAGCTGCCTGTCGTCCACTGCAGTCCACCTGTAGCGACGTTACCGAGATGACGGCAGCTGCAGCTGCTGACCTCAGAACTGGCCGGCTGTAGCTGTCGGTGTTGAGTAAGGGATCAGTAAGTGATTGAGGAAGATGAGGAATTTAAATAAGAGAGTTAACTCCACCAGCTTTCACTTTCGATGCCAACGGGTATCAGCAGTTATTCGACTGTGAGGCATACTGGTGACAGAAATCTCCACTGACAGAACATCTGAGTGGACCGGATCTCAGAGCCACAAACCACCCCGCATGAGGGCATCAAACCACCCCGCTTAACATGTAACGACCCCCTGTCCACACTCAGGACGGGCAAAGGCCGGTTCCAGTGATGACAGATACGTCAGGTCTCCTGATCGCCAAAGCGGAGCGACATGAGCTTCTATGTGTACACCTGAAGCAGCGCAGGATGTCCATGCGACGCAGCCATTTTATACAGCAGGATCAGCTTTTCTAGTCCAAAATAGCGCGATTTTGCTTTGCGCTGGCCAATAGCGTGGGTGGAAGCAAATGTTTTACAGGAGGAACGGTCAGGTGCAACACTGAGTCCTATTCCCCAAATCTGTGTTACTTCCATACCGATTTCGTCACACCAGCCTCATGTTCGGGATATGGAAGTGGTTCGCTTCACCGCGTTATGAAACTTTTGAACATCCGTGATGCGTGGGAGTGTTTTGCGTTTATACTGGCGTGGAGAGGGAACATGCGCATCCAATTCAACACTTGAAGTCGTTTCGCTTGTTCAATCTCAGTTTTAGTGTTTGCTGAGGTACTATATATTTTCATATGTGTAGGGCCACTTTATCGACATAGAAATATCAAACTCACAGGGTGTACTGGCCTGTAGGTGAGCTCACTTGTGTCAAAATCGGACGTTCTTTGGTCATGACCGTTGGGAAAAATAAGGCCGAACAAGGTCAAAATGCAGATTGGCATCATAAGCCGTCCCAGAACCTACATACTTGTTCTTCAAAAGCCCACTTGTGTTCATGTAAGGTCGGTGACCTTTTTTGACCTATTGAGGTCATAGTGACCACGATCAATTGCTTTGAGTTTTGTGGTTGAACAAGCGTCAAAGATTACGCTAGACGGCATGTCCCTAAAAACAAAAGGCTGACCTGAGTCAGTAACCCATTACGACCCTGAAGCAATTCATTGAAGACGTAGCATGCAGTTTCTGTAAACAAACTAAAAATGAGCACCAGAAACTCCCCGTACAACAAACTGGTGCAATAAGACGAGTCGGTTATGACCTTGGTCTTAGCTTCATACTTGGCCCTTTGTTAATGCAACGTGTTAAATCTAAGAAACTATCTCAGGGATGTCTGGCGTTGTGTAACGTTCCGTTGTTGCCTCATATGAAACGATTCCCTAGAAATTGTCTTCGCCGAACCCATAACCTGGCTGCGACCTGCCGTAGGTCGGCAACCTGACGACGTGCAACTAAATGCTTGATACCGAGCGATCTACTATTCATTGGTCTAAAGCTATGCAAAACTTGACGTTGCTACGCCGCGCCGTTCGGAAACCATTTCGAAAAAAACGTCGGGGGGGGGGGGGGTGAGGGTTCAAATTGACAACCACGGGAGCGCGTGTTTTACATACTGGTTTGCTAAGAAAAACGTCCGTTTTATTCCATACCTGACTTAACCTCATGCCACCTCTGCTGGTGACCTAGTTTGACCAGTACAGTGCGACTGACACTGGCTCACACATACAGTCAGCGTCGATCGCGCCGAACAATCTAAAACCAGACAGGGGGCTTTTTCTGCAGGCAAGTACAAAACTTGCCGTGAGCGCCTTTGTTAATGGGCTCACAACTAAGTAATCTGACCAAATGCTTTAAACTTTACCTTTCAGAATATGGCACAGTAATTATCTATCACGCTTTGGACATTCGGCGAGTATGTCTGTAAAGGTTCGGAAGTTATTTAATGTACTTGAAAAGATCACTTGTCGCCACTGAGCAGTCCGGCATCAACGTAATGAAATTGCACATATTAAGAATGGGATGATTTTTTAACGGAATTTCGCCGCCTAGTAGCGGCTGCATGCCCTTTCCAATAATCTATCACCGGATCTAGGGACCCCGAACGAAGACATAGCTCATAAACACTAACGATTTCCCGCTAAGTGGTGAGGTTTTATGACATAACATCGTCACTTTGGATCGGGTAATGTACAATTCACCGGATGTTAACTTCGTTTTACGATCATTCCACGCCAACCCAACTAATAAAACTGCAACTTTACATACCACTATCTCAACCCTGGACAAAATTTGGTCTGCAGGACTATGTTGAGCTCCGGTCATAATTCTGGCGTTTTTTAACCTCAGTACCCAGCCGTTTTCCGCCATGATGGCATCTGGACATGGCGTAACAAAGGAAATGTGCTAAGTAAACGACGATAACTCCGCCACCATAGCATATTTTGCGCTCAGAAAGCGGTCGGTGCGGCGCGGCATCCCCGGCCGATCGTAACTGTAACTGCGACTGTAATTGTAACTAGTCGGCCCCTTGCGCCCCCCTGCTCGCTGCCGGCTGACCCAGGCAGCGCCGGTGCTCCCGGCAGCTACAGCGCCGATGCCGCGACCTGTCACCAACATGTTCATTGTTGGCTACTGCCTGCTTCTAGGACTAATACCAGTCAGTGGGAAGCTATGCAGAGGATGCAGAAAGTGAGTTCCGAAGAGGGATTTCGAGGCAATAGATCTGCCTCATTCGGACTCTGACCAAACCGGACCTGTCTCGGTCAGCTCCATCGAGCTTGCTCCCACAACCGGGCAGGTCAAACAGACAAGATCCGTTACAGCCGGGGCCCAGGCTCAACTCCGTTCGGTGGACTTCTCAACAACTAGGAGCCTCTTCAGCGGCCATTCATGAAGACGGACCTTCACCATCGTCCACACAACAGCTTAGTTCACCCGAAGACATCCAAACAATCTGGTCATCAATAAAAACATGAATGTCATCATGCCTGTCATCGCTGTCATCGTGGCTGTCATGTGTCAGTCCACACAGGTGAGCTGGCAGCTGGTTTGCATTCGCCTGCCATAAGTGATTTTTATGAAGAACTGTTCACTAAACCCGAGATTTGCTGAAGATTGTACTACGTCATCACGTATTTTTGTTCTGTTTCTTCGTTGAAGTTCTAGTTAATTTGCGCGACGCAAGTAATGAGAACGTCATCGGTTTCTCACCAAATCTAAGCATAAACATGTTCAGAAATGCTGCTGATAGAATCTAATACATGTACAACTACAGGCCGCACACATATTGCATAATTTGTATGAAGCATACGCATGGTGAAAGAGTGTCTTGCTGAATGTGTTGCTCTCTACGTAATATCAAACTGTTTTGCGAAAGAGAGAGTCGGCAAAAACAAAAAGACCTCGGGGAAACAACGAGGAAACACACGGGGACATTTAATTATAGTAAAAAACTGATGACGGAACTTGTAGGTAAGTTTAATCGCCCCCAACATAATGCATATTCAAAGTGCAGATTCTTACACTGTTCCCATACAAATCCATACAACTGTATCCAGCTTTGGCGCCAGTGGCGGAGGCAGAGGGAGCTTGCACCTCCTCCTCCCCTTGATGTCCCCCGGAAGCGACGATTAAGGGCCGGAACGGCCGGCCCGGGTCTGTGTTAAAGACCCTGGCAGATATTCCTGGGTACTCGAATCCCGGTCAAAGGTCCCTTTGCGCCGATTGGGAGCCCCTCTAATCAATGAGGGCCTCTAAGTCGGTCAGGCACTACCAGCACCGAGCAGTCGGCTCCATGTCCGTCTGGGTCTGAGGACCCATTGCCCAAGCAGGGACAAGACTGGGGCCCGCGATTTACATTGGTCGGAGCTCCTGAGTCAATGAGGGGCTCCGTGTTCGGTCAGGGGCCCATGGTGCTTTGCAGGAGGCCCCTGTGCTGCCAAGTGGCCCTGAGGCGGTCGGGAAAGTGTTCGAGGGTAACCGTCAAGGGTCCGATTGAAAGGCCGAAGGGCCCGAAATGCTGGTTGTGGACCACAACACGGACTTTGACCGGAAGGGCTACAACTTCAATTTTCAGTTAAAGGGCTTCTTGCACACGAACACAAACTACACAAACAGTCAGCCCCGTGTCGGTCTGAGACCTGGGGCACATTTCCCGAGGTGGGACAAGATCGGGGCCTGTAATGTGCATTGGTCAGGCCCCTGAAATAATGTGGGGTCCCTATGTCGATCAGGAGCCCACGGTGCCCAACGTCGGCAAGAAGTCGGCAAGGAGCCCCCTGATTTCGGCAAGGGAACATTTGCTGAACATGGACAGGACTCCGAATGCCAGTGGGCCTCTTGCGTTGGCCGGGGTGCCCAAACGGCGACAGGGCATATCAAAACTTATGAGGGGAGTCCACCATCGAGCAATGAAAAGGCGAATGTGTCAGTAAAGGTCACCGGTACCTAACGGGGAGGGGGGGGGGGTCCATTCCTTTTCAGCCAAAGGTCCGCTGAACCGAACTGGAGTTTCCATGCTAAATACCGGACTCCCTCCAGCGATAAATAATCTGGTTTGAGGTAATGTAGACCTCTGCGTCGATCCCGGGCCACTGCACGGGTCAGAGCGTCTCCCGCGTCATGGATGGAACTCGAGTATGACGTATCCCCCTATGGGCTTTCGGATCCACCAGAGAACAGCGTCCCCATGTCGCCAGAATAGCAGCCAGTAGACACCCCGCATTGGGACGGAATGGGCCTTCCGCGCTTCGCCTGGAACGATGCGCCCCCTAGCGTTCTGCTCTCGGGCCCCGGCACGCAAGAGTGACCGCCGTGAAATAAAACTTCCGTAAATCATTCAAAAGCAAGCCGTACCGTTCAACGGTAGGACTTGGATGTGTTTATCACCTGAGACATTTTCAGATTGTCTTTTGAACAGATTAACAGCAACAGTAACACGAAAATACAGAATATTTATATGTTCTTCCAGTTTCAAAGACAGATTCCAGCAACAGTTCGTGGTAATGTCAATGCTAATCCGCTCTTTTTATCAGTCCAAAAATACCACAAGTGAATAATACGCTCAGGCCACCTGCTAAACATACCAATGAACATGCCCAAGCGTTAAAAGGCACTTATTTCAGATGCGTCACAATTTTCGTCCACCCGTTGGCCGGCGCCTCGTGTTGGTCCCAGGGTCGATGCCGCACTGCCCATGGAGACCGTAATGTCGGGCGTCGGGGTTTTTGTTTGAAAGACTCGTGAGCGCGCAGGTTGAAACCTACTTTACATTATTTGTTTTCATTCATCAATTCTGAGTGAGTGTTGAACATTTTCAGACGACTAAGGGTTGACCATGTTAATGAGAATGTGTTAGCCCATTTCCATCTACAAAATGCTATCACGCAGTCCGCAATATCTTTGTGGAACCCAAAAACATTTTGGCAAATTCTGTGGGTGCTATCGGTCCAGCAAAAGTACAAAGAACCACTGCAAAACAAATGGTGCCGATGGTTCTTTTTCGTGCAGCCATTTAACAAGGGATTCCTTCGGGGTATTGATTTAAAATATTAACAATTGCAACTTTCAATAGTTTCTGGCTTCTGCTGTAGTTAAAGAAAGTAATAATGAAAGCAATACAGATAACTCGCGTCCCCCTAAAAGTTATGTGGGCCGTATCCGGCAATTTGGGGGGGGGAGGGATTTCATAATCAGAGACCCTTTGTCAACCCTGCCTCCCCCCCCCCCCACACACACTCAAGACTGGCTGCGCCATGTTTAGCGCCACGAAACACATGATGAAAAGAGCGCGAAAAATTCGGCCGACTGACAGGGCACAGATGGCTACAGATGAACAACAGGCAGTCTCGTGGTATGCACAACTGTAAACACAACTGTTGTTGTTCGCAATTGCGTGGACGATGGTGAAGATACAGTTTTGCATATGGCTGCTGAGGAGGCTCCTGTGTATTTGAAAAACGGCCGAAGGAAGCTGTGCCTGGGCCCCGGCTGTGGCGGATCCTGCACGTTTAACATGCCCTACTGTGGGAGCGGGCTCGCTGGACCTGACCGAGACGGACCGGTTCGGTCAGTGTTAGCATTCGACAGATGTATGGCCTCAGAATCCTCCTCTTGAAACTGCTTCCTGCACCATGTGCCTAGCTTGCCGGCGAAGTAGAAGCTCCAGAAGCAAACAGTGGCCAACAATAAGCCTTTTGATGACAGTTTTCAGCCCTTTATTGATCATTTTACCCTTCAGGCCCAATGGGTTAGCACAAACTACCTTTTGCAAAGCATGAACTCTTTATAACTAGTGCGCACATCGGACCGTCCATCCGTGCCAAGCTCATGTCGCCCAGTACGTCACAGCTGAGAAGACCGATGTCGTTGGGCATGGGGGAGAGAAGGCTGACAACCGGAACGCTATCAGCGTTCCAACAATGATTCCAACATTCTTTCAATGCATAATTGAACGAAGATTTGAGCTTTTTAACAAATCGCAGGTGTCAACAACTTAGGAAATGTGCTTTTTGTACTATGAAAGCACAGTTATCCCATAACGATGCAATCATTCAACTTGTCTTGATATTGGCAGTCAGAGTATTTTATTGCCTACATGATTTTTGTTTTCTGATGGAATAAAATATGTCATGATTGTGGTTATTATCGTTTCATTTAATCCATTTTCATCACTACGTCTTTTCTGACATCAATAACGGTAAACGGCGGGGTGCAGAGGTCTCAACGCTTCAGAGACGCGATTGGAGCACGAGATAACCCTGTACACGAATTTTAGTTCTGATCTCAGATGGTGGCATGGGCTCGACTAGTGAGTTGGCGTGCAGTGACAATTAACGATGCATCCAAATTATCAATGGGTATATGTTCGATAACGTACGCAGTAGGCAAAATGAGCATGGGCATCCAATTGGTTTGCGATAAGAGCATATCCGCATCCCGTGATCGCGATCACTAGAATTTCTCTCTTTCACTATGAACGCGTGTAGAGAATGTATCCGGGGGGAGGGGGGGGGGGGGGGGGCTCGCCCGCACCCGCGCGGCCCGGGGAGAGCCTTACTGGGCCGGGCCGAGGACGCCGTCTGCGGGCTGTAGAGCTGGCGGCGGCCGACGCGGGACACAGCGATCTCGGCCGACTCCCAGTAGTCGGTGCCGTTCATACTGGCCGTGCACCTGGGGGCACATCAACTGGGTCAGGCCAAGGCAACAGGACACTTTACACAGCAACTCCGGAAGACGGTGTGTCACTGGACACGGCTGCTCTAGATTGTTGTGACGTCGCCAAAAAGTCGTATGCTGTGAGAAATTATGCGGCATCAGCTGAAGCGCGCTTGGGATCATACACTTTCAGTAAGTGTTGATGTAGCAGGCTCATTGGGGGGGGGGGGGGGCTTAAGGAGCGTGAACATGCCTTTTTTGGGTAAAACAGACGTCTTGGTCCGCCCAACGGCACCGGACGGCACTTGACGGCTCGTTCAAACCACATGCCACTTACCTAGGGCCTCGAAAACTATATCGACCTCTTCGATTGCCAGCGGTCTCCGTTTAGCTTTAGGCATCGAAAATGGTGTTACGAGTGTTTGCCAGCGGGAAAAACAATGTTATTACATGGATTAAAGACACGTCCTTAAAAGATGGCAATAGATAGTAATAACTGGCAGAAAATGTATCAAAGGTTTGCAGTTTGAGAATGATATGTTTTTAATCGATCTTATCGTAATGATGGGAAACAAACTTCTTATTTACAGTTGAGCAGGTGATAGGGCTTTTACATACATGCCTTGATCGATACACATTTGTAGTACCACTAAAACGTCAACCTGCCACATATCCGACTACAAGCAGCATGGCGCCGTACAACCCCAACGACTTGAAAACAGTGCTGAACAGATGGCATGTAAATAAACAAGTATCAACTTTGTAAGCAGCACAGTTAACGGACATGGTACCGCATAATAAATGAATGAGTCCAAAGAAAGTACAAAGGTCAAGTAAACATCATGTTCCAAACATTTGGTCATTACTGAGCACCCCGACCACTTGATCAAGGCTTGGGGCTGTCAGTTAAAGCACTCCACGGACTGAGCCTTTTGAGGGCGGTTCAGTCCGGCGCGATTCTCTAGAAGCCACGACTCTCGAAATTTCTCAATGCAATCCGGCCCGGCTAAGCAGAAGTATGCTCATGAAAACCAGCGTCAATCCTCCTTCAAGTTTCTTTATTTTCTCACCAAAAACAAATATGTCACACCCCTGCACATCGTACTATTCGTCTTTGAAAACTTTTATCTTAATATTCTGAACTGCTGCAAAAAAACAGCAGTCAGCAGTTCTGTTCGAAGCAGCCTGACTGTTTGAAAGAACTACCTGCTAGCAATCCTCTCTTGAATACTAACCTCACAGTCTGAAATCCGTATTCCTGGCAAAGATCCTAAATTTTCAAAGAAAATACAGGCTTAGCGAAAGGTAAGATCAATGTTCGGATGCGGCAGAATAGGACTAAAATGGGCCGCAATGTTCTGCCTTTTAGATTTCATAATATTCTACAGCTAACCATTCAAAGATGTTGGTGACAATTGGACGGATAATCATATTTCTAATAAATTTGATAAAATTACATCTGCAGGGTATTATGAAGCTTTTTAACTACACAACCTAACAGAGCTGACAGGCCATGACGGCATGGGTCCATACACTTTGTAAAACATGCCTTGCTACCGGTCTATGCAATGGCTAAGAGACACCTTATAGTATAAATGTGCATAAGGCTTATACAATCTGATCTAATACGCACCCGGATGGCCGGCTGAATACGCTTCGCTCAGGTTTGTGGGGGGGGGGGGGGGGGCAGGTTGAACACCCTGTGAAGTCAAAAATCAAGATAGCTAGAGATGCCAAATTCACAGGGTAGATTGGCCTGTGTGTGAATTCACTTGGGTCAAAATGTGAGGTTTCAAGGCGATAAGTTTGTTGTCAAATAAGGTCAAACAAGGTCGAACTCAAAATTGTTGTCTCAAGTTCCCCGCACTTCCCCATGCAACCGCCGTGAAGCTAAATACATATTCTAAACAAATGGTCAGTGAGGTCATTGACCATATCTTATCTTCATGAGGTTGAGGTGACCAAATGCCTAGGAGATTACCCCTATTTTGTCATTGCAATACGTGTTAGTGATTACGCCATGCGGTATTTTCCTAAAAACAAAACGTTGATCTGGGTCATTTTAGGTCATTGATCTGCCTTAAAAACGTCCACGGAACATATCATTCTCGTTCCTTGTCATTACCTAATTCCAAATGAGCACCAGAACCTTTTCAAGAACACGAATTTTTTGCTTGTTACCTGATAAACTATCTCAGATACATCTGGCTTCGTCTAGCACTCCGTTACTGCATCACATAGAACGATTCCCCACAAATGCCCTTTGTTGACAGCCATAGCCTGACCTGCTATAAATAAGCGACATTACAAGGTACGTCTAATATTTTACATAAAAGATCCGCGTTTTAATTGTCTACAGCTATGCAAGGTTTGGCGCGGCTTCGCCGCGCTGTTCGGGAATTATTCTGGAAAGTCTTCAGAGAGGTCAATTTGACCCCGCCACCCGAGCGCGTGTAAAGTAACATTGCTAGTCAAAAAATCAAAATACTTCGGATCAGGGATAGAGTTTTACGGTGGCCATTTAACGTGCCACAACGTTCGGCACTGCCCGTCCTACCCTGAGTGTAAAATCATTCGACGCCACCTGAGGTTTACCGTTCACGTTGCTACTGGCCGCAGTTCATGCCAGTCAGGGCCAAGTGATAGGCACGTTAAGCGACACGAACCCTCCCCGCAACCAGAAAATGAATATCAATACAGACGAGTTCTAACCAACGAGTTTTTGCCACGAGCTAAGGAGGGAAAGAAAATATAAATTGCTATTTTTCTGGGCAAGCTTTCCATTTGAGAGCAAACATTGACACCTCCAGAATAACAAACCGACAGAAGCGTGACAAAATCGGATGCGCCATTTTCATGTTTAGATTTTGCCTGACTCCTAAGTGGAAAGGGTGAGTAGACAACCACACTGACATCCTTCACTGCATTCTTTTATTTAACACAATACTCGGTAGCATAGCAATTTCACACCCGCACGGACGGTCATGTAATATAGTTGACCGGAACCAAATATTTAGATGCATGTCACATTCCACTCTACTCAGTAAGTCAGTTATGATTTTCTGTGCTGAAATTGGGCGCGCATAGTTTTTTCCCAAGCATTGCAAAGTTAGTCGATTATTTTACCATTTTTAATCGCTGAAGTTGTATGCTCGTCCTACCCAAATACAGGTCAGATGCAACATGCAACATGCAACATGAAATAGCTCTTGCGTTCATGCGGGCGTGGTTGCTTTTCATCGTAGATATGCTGTTTCGATATTCCGGAGATACCAATTCTTTTTTTAAATGCGGAAGTTTGCGACAAAGATGAAAACTGACATTTCCACTCCCTTCTCTTCCGTAATATGCCCTAACAGCCAGTTGTTTAGGGCACTTACATTCCGATACGCCCACTGGTGGCGGGGAGCGTCCGAATCGCTTTACGCGCTGATTTTTTGGCCCTGACTGGCATAAACTACGGTCGGTGGCAGCAGATGCAGTAAAGGTCGGATGACGTCAGAGGAATCCCCAGGGTGCCGCAGAGGAAGCGCGCATGTCATGCTCTTCGTTTATTGGCTGCACAGAAGTAGGTGGTAACTTCTGTTCATCGAAATGCATGTGCTGTGCATCTCGCTAGTCTTGGATCTTGAATTATATCGTTCACAAAAGCAGTTCCATACTCTATCTATTTAATCTAAATGTTATCCAGTGAACACTGCCAGTACTCCATCCAACAAGCTCTATTCTATTTCTCTTTTGTGTGGTAAGAGCGTTCGGTGCACTTCTTTAACTCGGGGAAAAACATCATATTGCTCGAATATACGTAAAATGTTGACAAAAAACTTACAATGCGTGTTCAATAAGTAACCCATGGTTCTGCCTTTCCTTGGTGATGAGGTTGGAAACCAGAACCTTTTGCTAGCTTTGTTCAATACAAATTCCATGAAGCTTTTTATATTTGACATTCAAACCATGTTTGAGGATATCAAAAACAAAAACAATGAAGGAAGTAGGTGGACAGAACAAATTTTTGGCATCAGAGACAAACCTGCCATTTTTGAGACACAGTCTCACATGCACATTAGTGTCGGTTTTTGGCCATTCCTTATAAATCGGTCGCACCTGATATCACCACTAGTGACGCATTTGACGCACTGCTCAACCCAACATACTGCAAAATCATATGGTGCGACAGCGTCATCTTCATTGGCTTCATCAGTGCACCATTCACGCCTCATTCACACCGGCCCCTTTGCCACCCACAGTGCGCACAATGGGAATCAATAGGCGTAGGCCATTCCGTCTGCCGGCGGTTTCCGGTAATGCGACAGAAAACGAGCGCTATATACCACGAGTGGCCCGCTAATGAGGCGGATGGCAGCTGCGGCATACCGCGCCAGTGCCGGCCTAATGGTCCACTTGGACCTGCGGGTCTGCCGGATCATCTGCACATCAATACCGACCATTCCATAAACACATCTGAGGTCCGTGCGTACGCACAGCGTGGCTCAATTGCGCCCGCATTGCGCCCAACAGGCGTTTAAGTGCATTTGGAGATCATCCGGAAGTAACGTCACACATGGTAAAAAAAACACACAAAAGACTGGTGCTCGTAAAATGTGGACTAGTTCTCACGATCATTCCAGAACTTCGACAAACACACGATTTTTTGTCATTAAATTACGGACTCTGACTAAAAACCAGTCCAATACAAAGCTCCACACCAAACATGTATGGCACGACAAAAATATTAACATATGCAATATATATAAAGGGGAGAAGTTCACAATAATGACGGCGCAAGGGTGCCTTGTTTAAGCCTACATCACCAGGCACCGCCTGGTAGGAGAGGAGGCTCCCGACGGCGCAGGGGTGCCTTGTTAAGGCCTACACCACCAGGCACCGCCTGGTAGGAGAGGAGGCTCCCGACAGCGCAGGGGTGCCTTGTTTAAGCCTGCGCCACCAGGCGCCGCCTGGTAGGAGAGGAGGCTCCCGACGGCGCAGGGGTGCCTTTTTTAGAGCCTCTACTCACCGGACGCGCATCAGACCGTCGTTAAAGTCATCTGGTGACACGGTGTGCGTTAGTCGGGAAAAGGTTGTGCTCATGCTGAACGGCTCTGGGTTCGTCCAGCTCTCCACAGACGTCCAGGCGACCTGCAACCACGGGGCGAGTGCGTTAGCAAACGTGTCCCGCATGTTCTGGTCCTAACTGATGTTCTGGTCAGTACATCAACACACCATTCGCTTGCATATTAATTAGCGCGTTTACCTCGTCTATTGCGCCAGGGATACATAGACCAATAGGTACATACACCAATATAGCCAGCCCGCTGTGTTAGACCATTTTGATCCGTGGTGCGCCAGAACCAGATTGTTCTGGAACACAGCAAAGCCTTTTTACTGACCTCAGCGAACATCATGGCCCTGTCAATATATGCATTTCAGTCAGACTCCTGCAGCGCATTCTTGAGCCGTCAGCTGTTGCAGCAGACCGAACGAGTGAGAGTAACGTCGCGGTTTAGGGGTTGTCACCACCCGGACCGCCAGCAGCAGCTCACCACACAACCACTGGACAACTTTTACATTCATTTTCGCACAACTCGGTAAATTCTTTACTTTGCCTCCATCGCCACCAAGCTGTGAAAGTGGGCTGTTCATTTTCCCGTGCCCAGCCGCCACACTTAAGTTGTAAGTAGGGTGCCGTTTCCTATTCACTTGGAAAACTGGGGGTCCAGCCTGAAGCCCCAGCTCTAAAAAGAAAATGAGCCAAATCGCGGGAGAAATTCGCCTTCTGGCGTACTTTAGGATTATTCCGGGAGTTTGGTTGTTGTTTTCGGGTAGGTTTAGCTATCTTTCACGGCTCAGCCCACCCCTCTCTACCCCAACCTTTTCTGTGAAACTAAATCTTGGACGGAAAGAACATAAAAGTCCTCTCGTGTGCAACCACGCCTCTTAAATTTGGGATTAGAGCAGCTGGCAAGGTAGCAATATGTGAACAAAACTTTGCCGAAGCGGCAGACCTGTCTCCGTGTGACGCCGGTCCGGAGTGACGCTTGGTGGGGGAGGGCATGGAAGGAGTAGGGAGAAGGCAGGGGAAATGTTCTTGTGTAACGTATTACAAACAATGACCCCAAAAACGGTGGCGCCGCTACGGACACCGACAACACGCAGAAAACGTTGCCACCGCTGCGAACACTGACAGCACGTTGCAACATTTTTCCAGTAAAACCTGTAGTCATCATCAGTCTTCAATGTAAATGTTGAATACGGTATCATGTTATCAGCACGAGTGGCGCATTTCAATTGGTAAATCGTTTTATACGTGTCGCACACATAATGATAATCTTTCAGTCCCTTATATAAAGCTAAAGTCGCTTCTATAATCTTGACAGTGCTCAGCCCAGTTTGGCCAAGCCGGGAAGAGTTGACTGATGACGTCATCACTAACATTAAGCAGGGGTCAACAAATCCCGGGTTAAGACTGTTCCGCATATGCAGTTGCTGTATAAATGTGTAGATAAAAGGCTTGCACATGCCGTACAGGAATAGCAACGATACCGCTGTGAAGATGTCGTAAAACCATGAAGAATGCGTATCAGATTTTTATTTTAAGTCAAATGTGCCGTCACCAGAGCTCATGATATACCCAAAAATGGTCGTTCGGGTAGATGCAGTTAAAACTCATGCCAAAGGGAGTGTTCCAGATATGTGTGGGGTTTTCAACCGAAATTGCTATCTTGAAGGTCATTCGGTGCATTTCACAGCCCTGCCCTCAATACCTAAACCTCTGTAATTTCTTGGCTAAACACTCGCAAAGATGTGCGGATTATTTTGAGGGAGACTTTTCAGTTACCGAGGTATCCAAGACGCCATAATATTGTCATTCAAATCCTGTCATTTCATTTGTCATGCGGCGGTCAATGCCCAGAAAAGTATGGCGGTCGGGCCGTTCAAATCTGGCATCCGCGAGCACCATTTCTAGATATAACAACCCTCAATTGGCTCTCGATCGATTTTGTGCAAAACATGATAACATTGTCAAACAATGACGCATTGAGGAGCATCATTACTAAACAGAGGAATCGTGCCATCAAGAAAAGTCTTCCACACTTCAACGTGTACCAATAACTATACGTGAACTTAGTTTATCATATTTGATGCTTCCTGCATTATACTAAAACGCAGGACAGTCCCTTAAACACGTCAAGACGGGTAATCAGCGCACAGAAATAAGCGCTATCACGCACTCGGGTGGGAGTGGGGGGGGGGGGGAAATTTTCCCCCGTCCTGAAGGTTTTTCCGGATTGATTCCGAATGGCGCGGGGTAAGTGCGCTAAATTTGCATAGCTGTAGATTATTCAATAGCAAATCTTTTGGTATCAACAAGTTTAGATGCGCCTCGTAAGGTTGCTGAGCTACGGCAGATCAAAGCCGGGTCATGGATGCAGCGAAAAAAATTTGAAGGAAATCTTTCAATCTGAAGCAATAATGGAGCATTAGACGGAGCAATGCATCTTTGAGACAGTTTCTCAGACAGTACAACAATTGAATTAACAAATCATATTGAGTTAAGGTCGCGTCTAAAGGTCAACCAAGGTGAAGGGCAGCTCAGTTCTATTTTCTAGAGCGTGCTGTATTGAGTAATTTCTGCTACTTATTTGCAATTTACTGATGAAATGAGTCGTATTTTATCTTCTATGGTCTTTATAAACGGCAGGATGGGTAACTGACCTAAAATGACCCAGGCCAATATTTCGTTTCTAGGAACATACTGCCTAGTGTTATCATTGGCGTTCATTAAAGTGCAAAAAATCTGAGCAGTCTCGTATGATTTTGATCACCATGACCTCCTAGAGATCCCAAAATGTCACCGACTTTAAATAAGTACCAGTGATGTTTTGCTAAGAACAGGTGTCTAGCTTCACAATGGTTACATAAGAGGATCTGGTAGCACGTATTTGTAACAAACTGACAACAGGTACGTTGGCACCTGAAATTGTGCGTCATCAGTTTCACAAACACCATAAATAGGTGGTTACACGCGTCGCACTCGTTCATCTAGCCTTTCGGCTACTGACGACATATACCACTGACCTTGGATGACATCATATGGCCTTTCACGTTCGCACGTGGCCTATTATGATCTTATTATGTGTTAGAATGGTATCGCAACATGTTTTTAGTGAAGTATTCACATTTTGCATTCAAAATATATAACAAAACTGCCTATCTTGAGCTCAGTGTGCATCTTGCAGAAGACACCCAAAGAAATAGCTCATAACCTGCACCAAGATCATCCCTCTGAGGTCATACGATGGTTGTGCATGTGAGTTAGTCCTCTTTCCCTTTGATACAAACACCAAATGCATACAACAATGGGTACAAATTTGGAGTATTTTCGAAAAATAGGAAAAAAATGGCCTGCCTTCAGGTCACTGACCACGCATATTTTGAAAAACCTGAAACGTAAAAACCTATGATTGACAGATGAACAGATACTGAAAATTTGGTCTTCCTGTCCTTTTCGTTTTTGACCTGTGCTCAAAACAGCGTATGGGAAGTCCCCCCCCCCCCCCAACCACCGCATGGCCACCGGAACGGAAGGAGAGGATTCATAAGTCACCAGCCGTTATCATTGGCCCGGTTACGGGGTGGGCAGGGACGAGATAACCCCACCCGGTCCACAGCTGGACACTTTTATCGGCCATCGGCCGCACAGACCAGTCGTACGCTCGCCCAGCTGGTTGGCACATGCTCATTAGTCGGCCTCTGTCCGGGTCACACGACGTACCGCCGAGGTCAGCGCCGAGGGCCCGTGTCATAAGCCTACGCGCCGAGTCCGGCCGCCGCGACAGCTACGGCCGGCACGGAATGCCCGCGACATGAACGTCACACGCGTCTCGCCCGCCCATCCGTCGGCTGGTTTGCCGGCGGCCACCGGACAGTTCCGATCCACTTGGTAACAGCATCTTCGCCATGTGTTTCGGATACAGTGCTGACAATCAGTAACTCTTTTCCCCAGTACCTGTGTTAAAGGTTATGGCGCCATGGCAGTCAACAAACTGCTGTATCTGCCAGTTAGCAGCCAATCTGAGTGTCTGTAAGTTTTCTTTTTCGTTTGAGCGAAGTGAGTAAGATTCTACTCAGGCATATTTACATCATCCGGTATCATGCATTTCTAAAACACATACTAAAAACCAACTTTTTATAGGATTCAAGCGCTTTCTCGGTTGCCGCATTGAGACCGTGTCAATCCAGTCGGCATATTTTGTGCAATTGGAATGGTTCTTAATCCATCCAATGCATTTGGCTCCACTAATTTTGGAATTCGATCCCATCAGATTCATGTGTTGTTTCAATTTTCCGGTCCGGCTAATCGATCCACTATTCGTGTATTTATTTATGCAGCGAAGTACTTTATTCAAACCATTGCTGGTCATGACCAGTGTGTTGAGGCGCCAAGAAGCCATTTTGTGTCCAAGTAATTGCTTGACATTATTTTTCAATCAGTACCTCCTAATATAATGAAGTTTCGTTGACTGCAGCGTAAGAGCTCATGATACCGAAATTATGACACATCTGCAAGTCTGCTGTAGTTGAGAAAAATCTCTACCGATTTGGCTAGAAGAAATGCCGAGTGGCCCTGGCAAACAAAGAAGGGATTGTTAAGAGTTTACGGAATTATTTTTCCCAAGCTCCCCATGTCTTATGCGCAGGTTCCAGTATGATTCGGAAACTTGAGGTGCTATGCACAGCTATACATATATCTAGGCCGACTAATCTTTCAAAGGGACAAATAACTCTGGTTCCCCCAACAATAAGACTGTTAGTTTGAATTGAGTTTGGGTTTCGCAGACATCTTTTATTTGTGAACCACTTCTTTCACATTGGTATGAGCGTCTTCATCTTTTGACATTGGTTTGAGCGTATTCATTTGGAAGCAGAGATGGCCAAGCGAGGACCAAGCCGAGAGGGGAGGGGCACCTGATTCAGGCCTTGCTCCTTCCCCCAATTTCGGTCTGTTTTTCGTTTTCATCATAGATGGCTCCTGACAGAACTTTACAAATCCGCGTGATGCGCTTTCACCGAGCCCCGGGCGCCACGTTCTGAAAATCCTGGCTGCGCTTCCGGAGACGGTTTACTCTTTTTTTTCC